ATAATAATAATAATAATAATAATAATAATAATAATAATAATAATAATAATAATAATAATAATAATAATAATAATAATAATAATAATAATAATAATACATTGCTACATAATTGTTACCCTAATTTCTTATATGACAAAATAACTTTGTTTTGGTCAAACTTGTTTCATCAATTACTCTTCATCATTTCACCATTCTTCTTACCTTTTTATTTATCCAATATGTATAGGATTGAGTTTGCGGTAAACGAGTCTGTTTTCATGAGATATGTAAGACCATAAAATAACACTAAAATTTCACAGTAATTCATTGTGAATGTATGAAAAACAATAAACATTCACAGTAAAAACACAGTTGTGAAGATTCGGTGTTATTTAAGTGGTCTCATAGGTCTCAAGAAAACAACATGGTCTCACATGATCCTACGCCTCTCTCTCTCTCTCTCTCTCTCTCTATATATATATATATATATGAATGTTCCGTTAAGATCCAAAATTGATTAAAACCAGATGACCCACAATACACCATGTGTCCCTTTTCAATGATGGATATTCATAACGAATCACACATTATGACGACTAACACGTCCATGTTCCTAATGAATATGTCATGTGTCGTGTTGTGGACGGTTCCCGATTGCAAACATTTTTCATGTTGTAAACCGAGATATAAAGGAGAAGCTACAGGTGTATCCAGTTGTCCATATTCATCATGGATAATGAATATGAACATTTGTGATGAAGGTTGACACTATTCATTATGAATGAGACACCATCCATGATCCATGATGAATGATATTACATTCATGATGAATAACCTATAAATGCCTCGGACATATGATGCAATCTTCTTTGTCCCCCAGTTCAATTGAACTTGCTCCTATAAATATGATAACGGTGTTCATGCAGTGTCCTTTTCATGTATGAAACATTCAAAATTGTTTTGTGTATGAAAAAAGAACATGAAAATATGTTTATATATGAAACAAATACACAAACACATTCATACACTCGTGCAAGAACAAAAACATATGAAACAATATGAATTATAACTTAAAATTGCACTCATTAATTGTTTGCATATGTATGTATGTATGTATGTATGTATGTATGTATGTATGTATGTATGTATGTATGTATGTATGTATGTATGTATGTATGTACGTATGCATGCATGCATGCATGCATGTATGTATGTATGTATGTATGTATGTATGTATGTATGTATGTATGTATGTATGTATGTATGTATGTATGCATGCATGTATGTACGTATGCATGCATGCATGCATGTATGTATGTATGCATGTATGTATGCATGCATGTATGTATGCATGTATGTATGCATGTATGTATGTATGTATGCATGTATGTATTTCAGTAAGAATGAAATTTATGATGAGAGACGTAAGAAGAGATCTCCACTATTAGATCAATCTTAATTGAATGTCAACACTAATGAGGTGCACCGAGATGCATCAGGTTAATTATCTTCTAAAGCAAAATTCATGAGATTAGAGGTCAGATCTCTTCTTACGCTTCTCACTTTAACTCTTTTATGTGTGTGTGTAGCCATAGGTTCATTTGAGAAGTTAAGTATGTGAAAAGTGGTAAGTATGTGAGAAGTAGAGAAGTGATCCTAGTCGTTCATCTGGTCAAGATTAGCAGCTTTGATTGTGAAGCATCGCATAATTCCTCGCATGGTATGCGGAAGATAGATGAGTAGTTTTTTAACTTTTACAAATAGGCGGCAATGAATTATATGTTCATATGTGAACCCATGTAATTTATATATGAACTATTTAACTGTTTCACATATGAACTAATTAACTGATTCATATATGAACCGTGTGATATAATTTAATTAACTGGATATATGAACTATGAGTTCACATATGCAATTATGGGTTCATATATATATTTGTTTGTAGTCTATTTGTAAAAGTTACGAAACCATCCCTCTATTTTTCACTTGACCAATAAAGCCGCAAATTTTGATTAGTTAAAGCTACAATTATTGACCAACTTTTACCGTATAAAAGGTTAAGATCACTTCGTTACTTCTCAAATACTTACTATTTCTCAAATGAACATAGGAGTATACATATATATATATATATACATACATACACATACACATACACATATATGTATATGTATATGTATATGTATATGTATATGTATGTATACTCGAAGAATAAATGAATAACTTAAGTTAAAACAAATTTTTGTTTTTACTTCTTTAATGAGTAGATAGCATATATTGAGGGGTTGTGTCGTTTAGTTTGTTGCTTTTGTAGCCGAACTGAATTAAATTTTATAATAAATCAAAGAAAAAGATGAACGACTTTTTGAATTGAATATCATGTTTTTTTATTTGGATTTTTGATAAAGACTTCATAACAAAATCAAGAATACGAGTGATGTGGTTGTCATATAACTAATAATTTATATATTATGATTATTATAAAAAAGTAATTAATTTCATTAAAAAATGCAACATATATTTATATATAGGGATGATCAAACGAAAATGATATATATTTAAAAAAATTAGAGAATAATTTTGTACCAATCATTTCATTAAATAATACCTTAAATAATTAATTATAAAAATAAATAATGGCATAAAACGTAATTTAAGGTATTTATTTAAGTTTCTATTTTTACCATATTCGTGATTTTAATGCAATTTTAATTTTTTATTTACAAAATATTTTATGTATTAATGCATTTAAAATAAGCGTGTTGTTGTAGGATAAATATGTTATCATATAAAAGATATGACGATAGAGACAGAGATAAATATATCAAAATTAGATTAAAATGAAAATATCTCGTAGTTATCTACTTGTAACACATCCTTATATAAATGGCTTATAATTAATGAGAATAACATATTCATTCTCTTCATCCTATTGTTGTTCTATTTCGTTTATATTATAACATGTTATCAGTATGCTACTTGTAACCTGCAGCATTGTTGCTCTATCATGCTATGCCATCAAGAGTATTATATGTTGCACAATAAGAATAGTAAATACCAGTTTATTGATACATATAGGTGGTATGTATATTCTCAGTGTTATTTTGTGTTATCTACCATATGGGTAAGCTTTATTACTCCCTTTTCTTTTTAATACATATGGAGTTATCTTGTAAAACCTCTGATCCAATGTATGCTATATTTTATATGCACCTATTATATTATAATATTAGCATTTCAAAAATAAAAATCTACACAATACTAAGGGGTCGTTTACCAAACACTTATTAGGTAAGCGCTTAAAATTTAACACTACCATTTACTTACCGGATAAGATTTTAGTCCATCAAAACAATATTGTATGCAACAAATTATCCGGTAAGCATTTAACGTACCAGGTAAGACACTTGGTTCTTGTCTCGCTTTTACTGGGTAAGATTCTTGTTCCTTATCATATTCATCAGGTAAGGTAATGTGACTTGGTAAGCGCTTACCCAAGTAAGTGTTTGGTAAACGGCACCTAAGTATTTTGACATCCACAAGTAATCCTACATTTGTGATATATGAATTATATTGTGATTGAATTTTGAAATTAAAAAATATATATATAAATTTTTTTTTGTTTTATTTATTAAATATTCAATTACAAACTACTAGTTAATCAAACACTTAAATGCCTACCAATTGATTCGACCTAATTTTTATGTTTTATTAAAACCATTATGCGATACATCTTGATTTTAATGTTTTGTTTTATTCTTTATCCCTATGAGTTTTACAATACGTTTTTTTTGTGGTTTTAGATTGTTTGAAACTGTACAAATAATTAACCTCACATACAAGAAACTGAAATATAGAAGGAAACCCTAAAAACTGTCTCAAGGGAGACGAAGACTTTTAAAATTGTAAAACTGATTTAAGCTACGAAGAGCCACGCTAACACACACACACACACACACACACACATATATATATATATATATATCAAGAAGTTTCGTATTGACCCTTAAAAAATATGCATAACTGCTTCGCTACCTTTCTAGAAACTTGACAACTTCAAACCACCCACCTTGATCAGCATCTTTACAGAAACAACTCCTTTAAACTAATAACCTGAAATATAACACCAAAACTCATAAATGACAAGATTGGATAATAACAAAGCTATATTTAACATCCTCCCTCAATCTTGACATTTAAATAAGTCAATCAACTTTAATTTTGAACATAAGTAACTATGTTGATTATACCAAGAGATTTCATGAAAATATCAGCAGGCTGCCCAGTAGAGAGGATTTTTACAAATTTTAACACACTGGAACTAACTTTTTCTCGAACTTGATGGACATCAGTTTCTATACATTTAGTGTGTTCATGAAAAACAAGATTATAAGCAATTTATGTTGCAGATTTGTTGTCGCAATATAGATTTACAGGAAGTAAATTTTTAATTCTCAAATCTGTTAAAATTTTAAGAACCCAAATTATTTCACAGGTTGTAGAAGTCATTCCTCTATACTCCGATTCAACAGAAGAACGAGAAACATTATTTTGTTTCTTACTTTTCCAAGAAACCATAGAATTTCCAAGAAACAAGCACTAATCAGTAACAGATCGTTTAGAAGAGAGACACTTACCCCAATCAGTATCAACAAAATCAGATAAGTGGAAAGATTCTGACCTTGTAAAATTGACACCCTTTCCTGGTGAACACTTCAAGTATCTAGCACCCTTAATGCCAATTTAAGATGGGACTGACGAGGTGAATGCATATATTGGCTTAAACAATGAACTGGAAAAACGATGTTAGGTTTAGTTGTAAGAAAATATATTAACCTACCAATTAACTTTTAATATCCAA